TAGAAACGTGCATGGAAAATGAGTCAGGTATATTATATTTATGTCATTTTATTGCTAAAATAGATTTTTTTTAGGAACCTAAAAATAGTTGCTTATAAATATGTATACGCTAATTAAGCTACTAAAGTGGTTCCTTTGTTGGTTGGTTATTTGCATAGCACAAGAAAAGAATTTCCATTTCTTATAAATAATGGGCTTCACAATGAGCCACATCTTAAATGGGCTTTTTGTACGGCCCACGTCTATAAAGCCCAACTTTTCGTTGTTGATTCTTGACAATTCCCTAACTCTCTACGTGTATAATCACAAAAAATCTGTACAACTACAATCAATATTTGCATAATCGGACATATATCCTCTAAAAAGTGGAAATATATTGATATCAATTAATTTCATATAACATACAATTCAAAAATTGCAAAAAGAGATTTACACTTTTGACAGATTACGTAGTATATCAATGGTTACTAAATTTCAGCCAAAACAAAAAAAAAATTACTAAACAGGAACAAAGCTGGAAATCGGAGGTCTCGGAGGAAGAATCTTAATCCTTCGTGGTTTATTCGCTATTTTCTTAAACTCTGGGGACTTTGATGTAATAACCTTCAACTTCGATGGCTTCTTTGTAAGCTCTTCCACTTTCGCCGGAGTTCTTCTCCTCCTCCTCAACAGCATTCCCTTCGTCTCTCTGATCAAAAACGGATGCAACAACAACTCCGAAGCAGTTCCTCTATCTTCAAGTTTCCTTGCGAAACACGTCTCTATAAACTGCCTTGCATCACACGGTACAGTATTCGGAATCTCCGGTACGTTTTTTCCTTCCGCAAGAAATTCCTGAAGATCATTGATACTAACCCCTACCCATGGGGTCTTACCGGTATGCATCTCCAACACTATGCAACCTAACGACCACAAATCTAGGGTTTTCTCGACCGAACCATCATCGACCGACTCGGGAGACATGTAGACAGGCGTTCCGACGAAAGGAGAATCGATTTCCCAACAATCAGAGTCTTCTCCTGCCTTTATCGACAATCCAAAATCCGAAATCTTCAAATCGTACGAACAATTCCACGATTCTTCATCGTACCGGGGAAACAGAAGAAGATTGTCCGGTTTAAGATCGCAATGAACATAACCAAGACTATGAATCGAGACTAACCCTTGTAGAATCATACGAGTGAAGTCTTTAATCATCGAATCAGACAAGTTTTTGTTTCTTTTGATGAAACTTGTTAGGTTACCAGCAGCTGCATACTCCATTGGCATCTTGTAAACTTCCTTTCCATTAGAATCGGTTCCTTGAATCAGAGAGTTGCCAAACACTTGTACGATTCTAGGACATCCTTTGAGTTCCGACAAAATCTGAAACTCTCTGTCGAAACTCTTGTGATCGGAGATTTTCACGGCGGTGTAGAACGTTGAACCGTCGCCTTTGTTGTAACGGAAGAGATCGACGGAGCCGTACGTACCCTTTCCTAAATACTTCACGAATTCCATCTCCGGTGACATTTTTTTTCTCGCAATTGATTTGGTCTGATCAATCTCTGGTTAATTTCTTCTGTAACTCTCTTTAAGGGCAGTATTTATAAAAGCCCTAGGGGAAGTTTAATTACGCTCGAGTTTTGTTAGAAAGAAAATGAAACCCTAATTTGATTAGGATTTGTGATATATTGAGAGAAAAGGGAAATTTCGAGTTGTGAATAAGTAAATAAATGTCGCATTAATTTGTTCAGGGAAAAAAAAGGAAACTTGATGTAAAAGTCATTAACGAAAACGAAAATAGGAGAATTATGAAAATAGGCCAAAAGAAAATCAAAATTAAAAAAATAGGCCATGTTTTCTGAAATTAAAAAAATAGGTTAATGTTGACATATTTATCTCTCTTTTAAATTATTAACAAAAAAATCATTATAATTTTGATTTCAACTCTACGTTTTTCGTGATCGGACTCAATTTCTCCTCAGAGAGAGTGGAGACGACGTTGTCTTGGCCACTCTCTTGCTGTCTTGCAATGATATCGAGAGGCTCAGGGAACGAGTGAAGAGCGAGTCTCGGAGTCCAGATTAGTGCCTTCTCTTGTCGACTTTTGTCATCGCCTATGGACTTGCTTCGTGAAGGCATGGAATAATCAGGGAGAGATCCGTGACTTTTCTTTCTGTCGGAGATTTCATAAAGTGGTTGGATCCACCGCTTCCGACGACATACTTTGGGAATTGCATGTTTCTGGTGGGTAGCTACGGCCAAGGCAGCGGAGCTTGTCGAAGAGAAGGGATTCGTAACAGCGGTTGAGATCCTCAGTGTTCTAGTGAAAGGATTGATTTCAGGAAAGGTAGAGACGTTTGCAACTTGTCATCCATGTTTTAGCACTAGCTGGAAAAGTAGTATGTCGTAAAAGCGAGAGATTACCATTGTTGTATGCTTCTGCATTTAGAGAAACAGAGAGCTAATCTTAAGGTTAAGCTGATAAATTAACTAGCCTGACCTCAAGAGATTAATTGTATTACCTGAAGTGGAAAGCAAAAGCAAGAACAATGTGATCCTCGAGAAGAAAAACTCCATTTTTTTGTAGTTTCAAAGAGAACTAAGAGGCTTTTTAAAGAGATGAATCTATAAAAATGCGGTGACTTGTCATCCACGTTTTAATCTTTGATGTTCAAATACACAAACTTTTAGTTGATTCATTCATCTTTGTCCAGCAAATCATGTCAGATCTTTCAATCAAGTCTTTTTCAAAAAATCTTTGGTCCTCAAATCATATTATAACAGAGGTGATCTTGTAAACATCACAAAGTGAAAAAAAAAAAAGCATGTATTTTGTGTTAAATTTTTCAGGATTGCATTTAAAATTATTTGACAATGAATACATAATACTGCGATTCATTAAGTTTTGTGCACATTGTTTTACAACATCAAAATCATTCACACTACTCATGATGAATGATTTAATTAGTGAAGTTTGAAACAGAGGTTGGTTATGTCAGTACAAGAAAACTGAGATATTAAAAACACTAGACTTCAAGAGTTCACTACAACATACATGCTAGGTTATGGAAAGGTTTTATTTTTCCGATCACGAAAAGAGTTGAAGTTTTAATTGTTCTCT